GTGAAATTATAAATACAAACCGTTTTCGTTTATCAGTGAAATTAAGAAATGCCTGCCACGGAGAATGTTTTAACTTTCTAAATGTTATCAGTAGCTCTTTTTTTTTTTTTTTTAAATTTTTATTTTCTGCCACGTATTTGTAATAGTGCAGACAGGGAGAGCCAAAACAAACCCCACTCTCCACTAACCATCTAGAGAAGAGTGTTGAGTATCTAAGCTATAAAAGTAGCTTTCAGTTTAACCTGGTATTTGCAATTTGTAGGAACAAATTGTGTGTCCCTGTTCTGGTAAATTCAGCGCATGCCACAATGGTGTGTCTCGGGGCTTTGTGGTTGGGAACAACATTTCTTGCCCAGTCGTAGAGTACAAGTGGAAAAAAGTTCTTCTGTATAACAAGGGTGGTCATGGTAGAGAATTCTGCCTTGGCTGCCTCAAGCCACAGGGTAATCTTACTAGGTACTCAGATGAACGGGAGTGACGGCGGGCAGAATTCGCTTCAGCTGTTGGCATTCATTTTTGTTGGGTAGAACTTGTTCCCTAGCGCCTGGGTGATTATGTGCCAGGATTCGTTAGTTATGACAAATACCGTTCCTTCTGATATTTCTCAATACGGTGGGATCTGCAATATTTATGCGGAGGACACCTGTCGCTAGCAACGCTATCTCTCCAGGAAACGTCCAGCGTCTTCCACAGATGCTCCTCTAGGGGTAAACATCCTCTGAAGGGGAGCTGACTTCACTGAGTGACTTTATGGGGCTGGAATGCGGGCCGATTCTTGAGGTCTTGGCTCCTCAGCTCCTGGCTCCCCCTCCCCCTGCCCACCTCCCTTCCCCCTTGGCTCCATTCATTCCCCCAGTCATGAGTTGATTCCCTCGAATTCGTTTTGTTGTTCTTTAGTTTAAGGCAGGTCTTGTTTTCTTAAGAATTCCTTCTATGATGTTTGGAGCTTTGCAGATAAAAACCTCCGAGGGCTTGCCGTGTAGAGAAAACCCGGCGAAGGTAATTAAAGACGAGGAAACTGGTGTTCTTTCTACACGAAGGCTAAGTTGGCCAAGTCCGGCCTTTTCGGTGGGCGCTTTAGAGTCCCTGTATCTCTGTATCTATCTTGCTGAGAGGCAACAAAACTCGTGCGACCATATATTTCAAATTACAGTGCTGTGCTGGCTTTCCTGTAGGTCAGTAAGTCAGGACCTGGGATGGGATGGGACGGACGGACAGGAGGACGGGGCCGGCGCCTGGGCACTAACATCTCTGTCAGCTCAGATAAATTGCACAGCCCTGGTCCCAGATCCCCAGTCTTCAAAGCCAGCGTGTCAGGTTACATTTTATAAGGAGAAACTCAGATTCAAAGGACTCAGAGAGATAATCTAGTCTTAGCTCAGAGACACTTAAGAATGTACTTTTGATATTTATGTGCTTTATTTTCACAGGCGTCTCCTTTGCCAGTCCTTTTGTAGGTCAGGGCTTCAAACCTGTGAGCGTCATCCTTCCGCCACGGAGCCAGCCTGGTTTGTAGCTGGAAACGCGCCTGCTCCTTCCTCTTCCTCCCGAGACAGTTCTGCCCCGTCAGGGCCAACGGGCGATCCCACGTCCAGCTGGCGTGGTCGCGTGTGCCTCTGTCTCTCTGTGAGGGGCTCTTCTGTGTGGAGCCCTGTCGGTGGGGCCTCTGTGAAGCTCGCCGGACAGTGTAACTTGTAATTTATTCCCTCGCGTATAAATCTGTTGCAAGCTTTCTCAATCACTGCAGAACTTGCTGGTACAATTCCATGTTTAACTAGAGGCATCTGGTGCCTCTGCTGTTTACTAAAACCCTTCATTTCACTTCATAAAACAGTTGGCCCAGTGTGGCTCTCCTTCCTCAGGCCACCTCCCAGCCCGCTCCGTTGTGAGCTGAAGATTGTTTTGTGGTAGAAAGGTCTTCCACAGGAGACCCCTTTGTGCATTTTCACCGATTCAGAGAGTCAGTTCAAACTCTAGCCGATTGCCTTCTATTTGAGTCGCTTGGGTATCTTAATGGGCTTTGAGCACATTGGTCAATCCTCCTTCAGAGAATCATGAGGCATTTCCCAGAACACTTGCTCCAGAGGAATTACACCACTGACTCCTGGCTACTGTCTGCTAACAGCCGGGACGTGGTCAGGAGGTCTGTGTGGGAACCCTCGGTGCGCAGGGGCGGCTCAGAGGCGGGAGCCCGAGGAGTGGGGCAGGGGCCCCGACCGGGGAGTCGCGAGTGCGTTAGGTTCCCCCCACCGGGCCCAGACCACAGTGCTCTAGGCAGCCATGTTGGCAGTACGTGGGCTGGACCCACCGACAGGCGACTGAGTCCTCGCTGTCGTTCTTTTCCACGCGGGTCGTGGTCCAGCTCTGGCTTCTGGCTGGGGGTGTCCGTGGTGGTACACGTCTCTTTCTCCGTGCCTCTGCGTCTCTGATTTTCACAGCCCCCCCCCCCCACCCCCTCCCGCTGCTTTCCACATCCAACTCACCACCCTCATTAGGGAAATAACTTGTTTTCTTTTGCATTCCACTGCCTCCCTCCATGTTCATTTGAACGTTTTGGAAATCTGTCGGAGGTGACTATGGCAGATGGAGTTGAGGGCTGCGAGAGGAAGAAAAAGTTACGGGAGTAAATAAGTGTCAAGGAATTCATTGTCTGCTCTCCACCTGTTGTTATTCTGGTCCCAATCAACCTGCTCGCCAGGCTGGAGCCAGCGGCCATCTGGAAACACTGCTCTGTTTATAAACTTGGCATGAAGCAGCACTCCCGGGCCCTGACCTCCCACACGAATCTGGAAACAATTAGAGCAAGATGATAGGCAGGCAGGGAACGCTCCAGGGAGGGAGGAAGGGCGGGAGGAGGAGGAGAGGAGCCTGCAGGGGAGGGCGCAGATGAGGGGTGAGGGGCAGGAGCCCAGGGAGGCAGGCCGGGGTGTTGGGGGGGGGGGGACAGGGGTACTGGGGTGTCAGAAGCCAGAGCCCCGGTGGGAGGCCTGAGCGGGGGAAGGGAGCTTAGGGGTAGAGGGAGCCAGGTGTGGGGCAGGGAGGGGGCCAGAAAGGGTCATCCTGCAGCGGGTGGGGATCAGGCTGTAGGATGGGGGGGAGCCAGAGGCGGGGTGAGGGCACCAGACACCTGAGGTGGGGAGCTGAGGATGGAGAGAAGCGTGGGTGGGGGGGGGGGCCGGGGGGGCTGAATCCGGGTGGGAGCTGGGGGTCTGGTGGGAGCCCAGAGCGGCCTGGACCCAGTGGGGTCCTGGTGGGAGCCGGGGACGGGAGGGGGGAAGCGTGGAGTGGGGAGAAGCCTGGGGATCAGTTTTGGGGAGGCCGGGGTAGCCAGCCCGCCTGGGTTGTGACGACCGGGAGAGGGGCTCCAGCTGTTTGCTTAAGATGTCGGGATTGCTGTGGCACACGGAGTGCCCTGTGCCCCGCGGCCTCAGCCTCACAGGGTGGCCTCCTGTTTCCTGGGACTTCTCAAGAAACAAAACAGGCTAGCGAGGCAAAGAAAATACCGCCGTCTGCCCTTCTCTGTGAACAGAGGGCAAGTATATCGTGGACACAGGGAAGAAAGTCCCTCCTGGTCCCTGTAGAAAAACACTGTGCGGTCTCCAGTCTTTGTTTTGGTTTTGGGAACGCATTCTTGAAAAGCACTGTTGCACCAAAGGAAGTTTAAGCAACGTTCCAGTTTGCTACAGGAAAGCTACAGAGGGACGCCTCTTCAGGAAGGACGAGACTCGCGGATCCACACACGCTGGCCTCTACGTAGACCGACATCGTCCTGTCCTGTGGCGGGAGTTGATTCAGGTTTCCAGAGTCCGGTATTAGCAAGATGAATGAGCCTCTTCCTTTTTTTTCTCTCTTTCCCCTGCAGTTTTGAAACGTGATTCCTAACTCTGAGTGGATGCTCTTTTCACGCTCAGCTGGGTTCCTAACTCCTGAAATATTAATCTGTGGGAGTTGCCGGCAGACCCATAGTGGGCGCCCATTACCAAGCTCCTGGCTGCCCAAAGGACACTTGATAAGGGGACTTTACTCTGTGCCTGTCTTCCTGGTTCTGGGGGCTCTGGCAGAGCAGCCCTTGCACCCAGAGAAGTGGCCCCTCTCCTGGCCTTTTGTCCTGCCTCTGCAGTGCGGAGTCCCCTGGTCTCAGCCTGGAACGTTGGCCCCAAGTGCATTTGCTTAGACCTCTGAAAACGAATTCATGAAAGTGGTGTCGTCAGCCAACCCAATCCCAGCGCCCTCTCCAGTTGTGAGTTCATTGACTGCCCCCCCCACCCCAAACAAGGCCTTGTTCTCAACGTTGACTTCCTCTGCATTTTCTTTTTTGCCTAAACACGGTTTCACACTCCTCACTTCTGCTACACTGCTCAGCACACCAGCAAACTGGTTACAAAACCCAGCACGAGAATGTTTAGGACTGTGGAATATGCACCACGTGGGGATGTGAAAACATAAGCAAGATTTACAAGGCCCACAGCACCGTCCTGAGAGCGGGCTGGGCTGGGCTGGGCCCTTTGTGTGGCTCTTGCGACTTGGTGGCTGCACCTCAGAGCAGGGCTCCCGAGGGTCCCCGGAGACCTTCAATCTGGTAAGCCAATTTCAGAGCCCGAGTCTGGTTGCAAGTGGATTCATTTGAACTATAATATAAAATATTGTGTTTATTTAACCCCTGTAAGCTGATCTCCTTTGTCGTCGTGAACTGGCTAGGCAGCTAAGAACCCACATTCCTTCCATAGTTAATAAAAACTTCATATTTTTCTCTGTATTCATAAATTTAATTACACTCAGACCCTTTTAATCTATATCGGTTTTTCAAAATTTACCTAGATTAAGAAAACATGAGCCCCTCCCCCTTCCACATGCAACGTAATCATAATCTTTGGATAAAAGGCACAACTTGAGAATTCATTTTGCCAGTTTCGTCAACAAATCATCTTGTATCTTTTTTGATTTTCTGACCTGGAGACGGTAGAGATGTAAATTGACTTGGCTATGATTCCTCCCAAGATTTATACTTTGAATGCCTGCATTGTTTAGCCTTATTAAAACAAAACCAAACCACCAAGAGAAGAGAAAAAAAGCTGTTTCTAACTTACTTCACCCATGACTCTTTGTAAATTCTTTGAAGCATCCAGCTTGTATTTGGGATTGGTACATCTTCTCTGAAAGTCAAGAAGGTGAGAGACCTCAGGGATGCCCCTACCCAGAGGAATCTTGGGACACGAGATCAGTAGTGCTTCCTTGGCCCCTCCCGGGTGCTTTCTGAAAATCAGTGACATTTCTGTAAAGGGTTTTGTGCCTGTTGAGAGACATAAATGCAATTTATCAGCATCTAGGTACTCTGTGTCCCCAGGCACCCACGTACAGATGAAAGCTTATCGTCTGGCTCCTGGCAGAAATCCTTCCCAGTGCGACCTCCTTCGCGCGAATCTTCTCTAAACAACATCTGTTCAAATGGTGCTTCAGAACCGTCTTCTCACGTGTAATGAAGGACACCGAGACTCCCTGTTAATTGAAATGTTTGTCTTCATTTCCAAAGCTTGGCGTTCTCCCCTCTTCCCTACCTGTTTCCTTGGAGAGTTTTTAGAATTCCGTCTGGGCAGACCCATCTGCCAAGCGTCCCCTCCTCTGTTCATATCTTTTGGCCACCATTTGGCTTTGCCCTGATTTGATTTGTAAGAGAGAAATCTCTGTTTCCACCAAAAGAAAGAAAAGAAATAAAAGCTAAAACAAAATGAAACCTTTATGTGTTGCAGAAAATTATTTTTCCCCCTATTTAATTGTTCGTTGAAATTCTTACAAGAACACCGTACTCAAACGTTTGGTCCGAGGAAGGCTTTAAACATAAGAGGCCCCTCGCAGCTTTCTCATCTGCAAGTCAGCTAGCGTTCAGCTCTTTGGAACACGGGAGAGGAACAATCGTTCGATTTCCTTTTCTGCCTCTAAGGAGCGGAGCTGCAGGGAGAACCACTCTGAAGTGTTCTCCCTTTCCAGTAAGGCTCAGGGGCGTACTGTGGATTACAACTCTAAAATTTGCGACCAGGTTTCCATCCCCAAACCGGACAATATTCTTTCCCCAGTCTTCTTTGTCTGGAGATACCAGAGGGGAGAAGGGCCGGTGACATTTCAAACCTCACGTGTGTTCTCTGTGTCGACTCCGCTGGCTGTTTACCTGTAAGATCACTGGACGGAGCAGGATGGCCTTTCAGGCCAATGTGCCGTAGGCCACGTGTTCCCTCCTTAGCCGCCATGTGAAGGCGGTGACCATGTCTTTGACCTGATGGCATGGGTGTTTCCTGGGTCATCTGGCCATGTGCTTAAACCTTCCAAGTGATAATGATAAAAACATGCAGAAGTGTTTGCATGAGGACGGGTAGGGCTTCACCGCCATTGAGTTTCAGGACGCACTGCCAGCACGTGACATGGGGCTGTTTGTTGGTGACTCTACGAAATGCTCGGCGAACGTGGAGTGCCCTACCAGAGCTATGAACAAGATGCTGACAGAATGATTTGTATCTCTTTGTCTGCCCTTGTGGGCAATACATTTCATGGCCGCCTCATTTGCCACCATATAACCTGTTCCTGCTACGCTGCCTGATGAATACGAGGCATTCTTTGACTATGTGCTCAGTGAATGAATCAATGAACGGTAAGGGGCATTTTCTGCTTTGAGAAATTGGGGAATATTTTACAGCAAAATTAACAGGGAGAGCCCAAGACTGTCCTGGAGGGTTCGTGCATTCAAATAATATTCTTTTTGTCTCCTGTCTCTCCCCACCGAGAAGGATTTGCCGCTTAAACACACTTGCTGTCGTTACAATTGCAGTGCTAGAAGCGCGTTGGTACATCTCCTGGTGTGGAACAGACGTACGGATTCTGTAAAGGGAACAAATCTTCCAGGTTGTGTTGTATCGTACTGACTTTTGTGTCCCAGAGGCTTTACGGGCAGAGGAGACACTGGCTTTGGATCCTACGGCAAAACCCCAGACACCTACTGACCAGCAGACGATTTTTCATTTTTGAATTTCTAAGTCCAATTTCTATTTGGCAACTCAATATGCTTGAAAGCAAATTTTTGCAGAAAGCCTGACAGAGGTGGGACGGGGGAGTGGAGAGGGAGAGGGTGGAGTGGGGAGGGGAAGGGGAGAGGGACAGGGAGAGGTGTCACCTGATTTCTAAATTTCTCAGCACATCAAGTATGAACCCTGGGAGCTTAGAGCCCTGCCCACAGCATGCAGAAGGGCATGGTGCGGTGGCACCTCCAGGGAAAAAGAGGGATTTCATCAGGCAGGGAGCAAGCCCGTAGCCCCACCCCTTAGTAGCACGGAAGGCTCTTGGGAAGAAGGAAGAGAGGTTGCAGGCTCACATGTGATGGGTAGTTGGTTGCTTCAGAGACACGCAGATTAGCGCCAGAGAACCTCAAGAACTGAGGGCTAGAAGCACCCTTCCCCTCCCAGAATAGGAGGGTTGCAGCTACCAGGAAAAGCCCACAGCCACGGCCACCTGAGCCTCTACGGCCATGCGGGCTGCTGCCCACCCCACTGTGCCTGGCTGACAGCTTGAGGAAGAGAGAAGGAGTGGGCAAAATCAGAAAGACTGAGCCTGCGCCCAGTGAGCCCGATTTGTCCAAAGGGGGATACTTTAAACGGCCCCGAGGGAGATTTAAAATGCTGCAGGTGGGGCTTGCCAGGAAGGTCAGATCGTCACGGTTACCTTGTCCATTCATCTCCTTACCCACCGTTCTGTCCTTAGCACCCGTGTCACTGCAGATGAGTGAGTGGGGCCCCCGAGACGCCCTGCAGGGGCAGAACGAGTGCTCGGGCACCAAGCACAGCTCCTGGCACACAGGAACTCCTCAAGTATAACCAGGTAGGAGTAACCACCTCTAGTACTCATGTAGAAATTCTCAGCACATCTTCTTTGACATGAGAATGGCCTGGACTAGTCCCGAAGTTCTTTTAATCTGGTTATCTACTGATGATTATGCAGAAATACTGGCTCCAAGGAGGCTTGGCTTCCTTGTTGGATATATGCATGCATACATATTTGTTCTCTCTTCTTCCTATCTCTCCTTCATCAGGCCAGTAACAGTTTGGATTATTTATGTTTCAACTCCAAAATTAAGTAGGGTGGCCACCATGGTGCTTCTGTTTTCACTTTTTATTTTCAACTTTCTGCTTCTAAACTGCAAAGTTTTACAGTGTGCCGCACCTCCTACTGCTCTCACTTCGTTCTTCTTTTCTCTTCCCAGTTCTGTTCTTCTCTTTTCCCTTCCTCTCCCAACTCCCCACAAAGCCATGCAGTGATCGGCTTCAGTCCTGAGTCCAGGGCTTCTACTTAGAGTCCACAGCTCATGTCACATGCAATGGTCTTGCCCTAGTCGCTGGGGGAGACGGATCATGAAAAATGGTTCCAATTCTCCATCCCTCCCTAGAAAGGTATCTATACCGTATATGGTGTGATATGATAGTTCTCCTGTTGAGAGGTTCATCTGTGTCCCCACTCGTTAAGTCTGGGCCGTGTAGTGATTTCCCTTGGTCAATAGAATGGGATGGAATGTGCCAGTTCCAAGTCTAACTCTCAAGGGGTCTTGTGTGCATCCTCTCTCTATCTTAGAATCCTGCCACTTGTTTGTGAAAAGTCCAGGCTGATGGTCAGAGAACGAGAGGCTGTGAGGAGCCCGACTGAGCCATTCTTGCCAGTGGAGTCTCAGCCGACCTGCGCTGATAACGGGATCATGGGCGAGCCCAAATTAAATCCACGAGCCCTTCCCATGTCGACAGAGCTTCCTGGCCAGTCCACAGACCCATGAGAGACAATAAACAGTTGCTTTCTTAAACCACGAAGTCTTGGGGTGGTTTGTTAGGCAGCAATAGCTAACTGATAGTCAATAGCCATCTTCTGCTGCTACCTCCGAAGGATTGTTTTCTAGTCCTTATAGCAGAGACTTATACAGGTTACCCCAAATCTGTGTCCTTTTTCATCATAAGCGTACAGCTGTGCTATATGTTCTCACCTCCACGTGTCCGTGTGACTGAGCTCTGGCGAACGGAATACGTGCAGAAGCGATGTGGGGCACTTCCAAGTCTGGAAGTTCCTGGAATCCATTTCCCCCATCTGGCTGAATGGAGAGACACTGAGGAGGGCAGATCCAGAGTATGGAAGACGCGGGGCTTCGTGCGCGACCGTGTGGAAGACCGCTACTCACCGGGATCATCTCCCGGTGCGAGTTTTGTGCGAGTGAGACGTTAATCTCAGTCGTGCCAACTTACTGAGGCCTGGGGTTCATTTGCAGCAGCTGGGGTTGTTCGCTGTCGCCACTGCTCTGCTCCTCTTACCTGGCCTCTCTGTGGCCCTGGGCCATGCTGACCGCCCTCTCTTATGGCATTTTTCCCCCTGGTTTCCTTGATCTCCTACATTATAATTTTCCCACACATATATCAATGGTTCTCCATTACTTTCAAGAAGATAAGGTCCGGAATTCTTAGCATGCCTTTGTCTCTGCTAATGCTTTTGTTTACCTCTCCGCCCTTCTGTCTCTCCACCATTGCCTTCTAACTCTGTGCGTTTATATAAACACGTCATGCTCTCGTGTGCTCTGAGGTCTGATATTTGTTCTCTCTCCTGGAAATAGTCTTCCCACTTTTTGCCCTACTAACTTTTGCTACCATTTTGGATCTGGTCTATCATTTGTTCCAAGAATCCTGGGGCCCCAAGGCTGGGCGAACAGCCACTGTGGACTGTGAGGGGGTTCTGTGTCTACCCCAATCCCAGGACTTACTGTTGTACCAGAGCTTTGCCTCTCCTCACCAGCGGACTCTATGCGCTGAGCTATTTTAGCCCACCGTGCTCACTATTGCATACGTACCCTAAATGCGCAAACCCACACATGCCATTTAGTCATGCTAATAACCATTGAGTGAGTGCATCAATTAATGAGTTGGGCAAGACTAGGGAAAAAGAGGGCGTGAAATCTAGAAATTAGACTCAGAGTTCAATAACTGGTAATTATGAGAAAGTCAGCTAGAAAAATAATGCTGTTTACTCTATCTTGGAGATCATCTGTACCTGGCCCCTCCGATGATTACTAGGCTATTTACAATTATAGGTACAGAACAGCCTTTTTTTTTTCAGAGTGTTTCCTTTTACTATCATTAGTGATGAGAATTGGATTTATTTCACATATTGCAATGCAGAATTTGATGCTTTTATGTGAACATTAAGTGCTCTGTAACACCTCAAACATAGTTCTCTATTAGAATTGGCAGATGAGGGGTTATATAAACTTGTGGCCAGCTGAGACGTTCCCAAAACATTGCTAGTGGAGTAGAGGGAACAAAGGGCATAACATGGGTGTGTGAACTCCTTCTTTGGGATGGCTCAGGCGCGCGTTTGCATATGTTCCTTATTATGGCACTGCCCTTTAACCACAAGGACAACTCAGACACTGGAAGGTTATGTGTGCTGCCCAAGGTCCCACAGCAACTTGGGTGTGATACTGTCTCCGAAAGCAGGTGTAGGTATCTTTCCCTGGGAGCCTGCGCTGACTCCCTGTGCTCCCAGACGTGGAAATGAATCAGAAAGAGCCTCTGGCAACGCGTCACGATCAACCTGGTGAAGCTGACGACACACACCTGTGAGGTTGCACGTGAGGGAGGATTCGAGGGGACTCTTTTGGTGCGTGTCCGTGGACGAACTCCAGGGAGCAGTGGGGTGTTCTGAATTTGCTTTGGTCGCCATGCTGTCGTGTGAACCTGTCCTGTGTATGGTCCGCCAGCCTTGACTTCCGACCCCGTGCGGAGTGTGTGAAGGATCAGGGAAGAGGTCCAGGGGGCCCTGCTATTGTCTTGCCATGGCTGATGATAATGAGCGCGGCTAAGATCGACCAAGTGCCTGATATAGTCCCAACTCCTCCCCTGAACGGCCTCATCCGCGTCCCCACTGGTACCACCAGTGAGGCGCAATGGTTCCTCTCAGCTCCCGGGCAAGGACACCGAGGCAGGGAGGGCTCCCGACTGTCTCCCTGTTCCTCTTGGAGTGCTTGTCCCAGGCTGGTCTCCGCCCACTGGACCGGGTATTGGTCCACAGGGAGGGCGTGTGGCGTCTTTTCACAGAGCTCCAGGGACTTATCTAGAACAAACCCTCTTCGAGCCTCTAGCTCCTGAGCCCTTTCTCCCACTGCCTCACTGTGGAAGCTCACTTTGGAAGGATCCTTTCTCACCCCCCACAGTGAGGGCGTACAAATTTAAATATGCAAAGAAGGATGGCAAAAGGAGCACATTTGGAGCAAACAAACACTAAACATTTGTGTCTATATTTGGTGGATTGGCTTTCACACAGAAATTCTTCACCACGCACTTTCGTGTTAACTTGGATGTGTTGGTCACAGACAGCAGGGGACAGCTGAAGGAAGCAGGAAGAGACCCCCCCCCCCGAATGACATCCACCTCCTCACGGCGAGTGCGTGACCCCCTCATGACTCCATCCTTCCACACACACCACTGTGCAATACTCACCCCCACGCATCCTGTTTAGAGTAGCTTAGATCCTGCCGAATTTTCCTTTTATTTGTCAGCAACAGAGTACGAGGCAAAGGCCAAGAGCTGCTGCTTTGTAGAGCTGAGAGGAAGTCCCGCTTGGCCCTTCGGAGCTCCCCGCAGGCTCGGGGCTGTGAGTCGGCAACCTGCAACCCGCTCCCACCCCGGGGAGCCTCCCCTGCGGCCTGTGTCTGGCTTGGGCTCTCCAAGGCGGTCCCGTCTGTTTGCACTGTGTTTCGTCACCTTGGGAGTGTGCAGGTAGCAGCGTCAAAGGTAGGGGCCACCCCCCAAATAGCCCAGACTCGCCAGGAGAGCCTCGCAGGGTCAAGGCACCCAGTCCCTTCCACCTGCCTAATGGTCAGCGGTCACGGAGGTTGCGTAACCAGCGCTGGCACAGCCTGAGAGCCCAGGGTGAATCAACGGTGTGGTTAAAGACCTAAAACCGCCTTTGTCCTCTGACTAACACGTTTTCTCACACAAAGAGCCCCAGTGCTGGCTCAAGACGTTCTTACGTGGTGCTATGATCTGAGTTAAAGTTTGAGATTTACGTATTGAGCAAGCTGATCTCTGCCTGCGTGGAGCTCAGCTTCTCGGGGGGGAGGGTAGACAGAAGCACAATCCATAAGTAATTTTCATGTTGTTAAAAATGACCAGAGCTTAAGGGGCGCCTGGGTGGCTCAGTCGGTTGAGCATCCCACTTCGGCTCAGGTCATGATCTCACGGTTCATGGGTTCAAGCCCCACATGTCTGGCTCTGTGCTGACAGCTCAGAGCCTGGAGCCTGCTTTGGATTCTGTGTCTCCCTCTCTCTCTGCCCCTCCCCTGCTCATGCTCTGTCTCTCTTTCTGTCAAAAATAAATAAAACATTAAAAAAAATTAAAAATAAATGACCAGAGCTTAAGGAATGAAGCATGAACCAGGGTAAGGGGATAGGGGAGCTGTGGGGAAAGCTACAACTTAAAATAGGGGGGGCCAACACAGGCCTCTCTGTGAAAATGACGTTGGAGAAATGAGTGGAAAGAGGTGCACGGTGCGCGTCTCAAGGCAGAGTGTTCTAGGAAGAAGAACAACCTGTGCAAAGGGCCTGTGGTGAGCACACGCTGAGGGAGGCCAGTGCACCCTGTCTATTCAACTGGTAGAGCCATAGCTTTAAGCTGCAAGCAAACCGTATCACTTCTCTGATACGTAGCTCCCTGGATGCTGATGGCACTGGGAGCAGAAACAAAGGCTTACTGTGGCCGCGTCTACCCTCTGGTCCCGAGTCTCTCTGACCCCACCCCTCCCCTCGGTGATGGCCCTGTCCCCTGTGTTGAGAGTGGACCGTGAGGGCAGGTGCAGAAAGGGAAGCTCGTCGGGAGACTGCCAGACAATCCCTCCAGGCCATGGTGACTCACAGCAGTGTCTTTATTTCTCGATTCTGAGGTCGGTAATGTGGGTGGGCCTGAGCAGGACAGTCTTGCTCCTCCAGGCTGGGATCCCTCGTGCCCGTGGGGCCAGTGACACCCGGCAGGCAGCTCCATTGCTGGAGAGTGGCTGGCTGCTGGCTGGCAGGACAGGGTGACCGGCCAGTGAGTCTCTCGTCGCTGAGCAGGATAGTGCAGGCAGCTACCGAAAAGGTGGCTCGGGGTGGAACCTCAGGATGCAGTTCTTCCCAAGTGTCCACACTGGCTGTAGGTCACGGCCGGGAGTCTGTGTGGGAGAGCGCCAGCGAAGGGCGCAGCCGCCAGGGGTCTGGACCCCCCAGTCGGCCCCAGAGAGGTTAGGTTGCCATGACACGACACGGGGGGGGGGGGGGGGCCATGCTGGTGTCGTGCACCAGGGGCTGTCGTCAGAGATGGTGAATGTTTTCTGGAGACGTGGTCCGTAGAATTTGCCGATGGCACGCACGTGGAATAGGAGAAAAAGAGAACTCGAGGGTGGCTGAGGTTCTGGGCTGGAACAACGAGGAGGGAGGTGCCATCTCCCTGGAGGTGGGAGGGAGGGAGACTGAGATGAAGAAGCCGGAGTGGGTCAGGCTGTGGGGAGGGCGGGGGCTGGACGGACAGGCCCGAGGTTCAGAGGGGAGGTTTGGGCTGGAGATACAAGTTTCGCCCTGACAGATCTTTATTTGTTCCAAGGTTATTGATTTATTTTGAGAGAGACGGAGCGTGAGTGGGGGAGGGGCAGAGAGAGAGGAAGAAAGAATCCCCAGCCGGAGCGTGGAGCTTGACCCAGGACCGGAACTCACGAAACCCGTGAGAACACGACCAGAGTGGAGACCAAGGGTCGAGAGCTTAACCGACGGAGCACCCAGATGTCCCAGCATGAAAC